AACTGGTGGCAGCCATAGTGACTGCGAGTCAGGCTTTGGTGGGATGAACAGAGGGTTTTTGGGGGGTTTTTTGAGAGTTTTTTGCTATAGAGAGTGTGTGCTCACCAGAGAGAGAGAGAGAGACAGAGACAGCTAGAAATCACCCCCCCGGGGGATGGCCACGCCACAATCCCTTCTCCTCCATTCCTCCATTCTCCTCTCCGAATCTTGGGCACGCACACACATGCGCCCGGAGTGAGTTTAAGCCATCGGGTCCAGGACTCGAACCGCAGTTGACTACTTGGGAGTCCAGCAACAGTCATTACGTCAACTGCTTGTCCCAACAGAGGTCTTTCAAGAAGGGACCAGGCTGGTTGGAGGTTGGAAAGGGACCCGGGCAAGGGCTGCCCCCTATTGGTGAAAGCTGGAGACAGGATTTGGAGGCCGTCCTGGGAGGCCCCCAGGCATCTGGAAGTGATGAGAGGCGGCTCTGCCTCCAGGGCAGGCATGACAAGGCAGCAGGCCAGGTCTCTTCTCCCCAGTCCTGGAACCCAGAACACTCCGAGAGCCTCAAGTGCTTTTTCTAAGTTTGTGGGAAACTCAGTTGACAGCCAAGCCTGTCCTGAGCTGATGTGAGCTATTTATAGGCTTTATTTATCCCACTTATTGTGAATATTCATATGTTCCTGCAGAAATATTAATGTGTTTAATTACGGGGTGTTGCCCCCGTCCCTGCTGGGGTGTTATGTAATAAATGGCGTCTGTACTGAGTTACTTTTCAAGATATGAGAGAAAGAATCCAAATTTCTAAACCCGTCTGGCCCCGGGGACTTCCATAGGGACTGTGTCCCCGCAATGGTGCAGACCTGTCACTGGCTCTGGACGTGACCAGGGCTCGCATGTGATTCCCGTGGTGACGCTGGGAGGGAGGTGCAGCCATTGCCTATCGTATGTGTATTGCAGATGTCCACACCCTGGCCGGGTGGGCACGGTGCTCACCGAAGGCCTCACAGCTAATGAGGCTGGTTGAGCCTGCACCTGTGCTTTTTCCCTCAGTCTCCCCCCGGGCCTCCTGCCCACGCCACAGCAGCTCCGTGCAGATCTGCATCTGTGACTCCTCCAAAACGGGCCTCCCCCTGTAAGCACCCCGCCAGCCTCCTGGGTCCCCTCCCTGCTCTGCTAGGTCCTGGAAGGGCCGTGCCCTCCTGGGTGGGGCGGGCCCTCTGGTCGCCAGGACAGCCATGCTCCAGTGCCAGCTCCTGGTGTCCCCTACAGCCCTGAGGCCATGCCAGACCCCAGGGACCAGGCTGTAGCCCCTGAGCGCCTGTGGCCCCAGGAGCTCCCAGTTTGAGTGGTTACTCTGCAAACAGAGACTCCCTCTGCACGGAGGGGCCTCGCCAGGGCGGTGTGTACCCCACTCCTCACACACGCGAGCAGCACACACCCTCCCACGGCTCTCACACACAGTCACACTCACACTTCCCCCACTCACACTCATCTCTCCCTCGTTCTCTTACACTGCTGCTCTCACACCCTCACTCATGCTCACACTCAGTCACTCTTGAATACATCCACTCTCACTCATTCTCACGCTTGCACTCTCTCAAATACATCCGCTCTCACTCTAGCACCACTCCTCACACACGTACCCGCTCTCGTACACCTTGCCCTCGCACATTCATGTGCACACACTCGCAGGCTGAGTCACTGACTCGCCACACCCCCTGAGGCAGATCGGGGCCTGTAGCTCATCGATAAAATGAGAAAACGCGGGGCCAGCAGTTAGCGTAATGGCTATGTCGCTGGACTCCCATGTAGTCGACCGCGGTTCGT